GTTAGAAAATAGTCTAAATTGGAGTTCTGACTGTTCCGCTTGTAAACAGCACACAAATCTTAACTCGCGTTTATAGAGAATGGCCTGCAAGACACCCTTTCAGACACCTTCAAATCTGCATCAACATTGGTGATCATGCATTAGTGTATTATCTTTTTATCGGTATTTATATGCAGCATTGTACAGAAGTTCCATAAAGAAGATAAGCATAATGTGACCCAGTAAACATTGTCCTCGTCAGTTTTTTTAGAGCAAAGAACTTATATTTTTTTATTTGTAGAAAGTGGTGCTGTTATCATGTTGCAGTGGTAGATTGGGGAAGCAAATAGAACTCTCTGGGTGTAAAACTATCGTCAACCTTTGATCAATAGTAACACTTATCGGTGTTAATTGCAGGAAGTGGTGTTGAGTTATAAACATCACGCATTATCAACACCTTCACCCCGGCATATTTATTCTTTTTCATTAGGAAAAACTTGATGTTAACATCTTTGGATTTTTCCTTTATCTCTAGTCCTGGCTTTCATCTGTCCACCTGAGAACTGGGAAGGTAGGAATCCACGTTTTAGACTTTATCACGACGACGACGACGACCATGATGGTAATTATCTGGATTCGAATCACGATGGATGGGTTAATATTCCCAGCGTGCACAGAAATTCTGTTATCTTACCCATAGAATGCCAGGCCCTCTTGCCTCTTTACGCATTCTCTGCAACATAGTAAAGAATGCCGTGTGTGTAGGTCACGTCTGTCCATCCGTGCCTTAATATCAGAGCCTAAACCGCTTCACAGATCCACTGAAAGTTGTTGAGAAATTAAGATTTTCAGCCATACTGATTGTTAATGAGGTCTAGTCTGTATAACGACTGGCTACTAGCTGGACGTCCGAGAAGTCGCAGTTCGAGTCCCGATAGTCAAGAATTTGCACTTCTCCATGTCGTCCAGACCGGCTTTGGGGGCCACCCAACCTCCTATGCAATGGGTGCCGAGGACTCTTTCCCCTGGGAACCTCCAACCAATGTCAAGGTCAAGAAAATGTGGATCTATACATCCACTCCCACATACGTCTTCATAGCCTAGTGCTTAGTGAGTTAAGCACAGGGACAGCTTTACCTTTTTGTCCATAAACTGGTGAAATTCGATGCGGGAGACTTCTCACTAATAGGCATTACATTCTCACATTTTTAAGTGTTGGCGGACTTTAAGGGACGCGGTTGGTAATTCTGTGTACTTCATTATGGAGTATATAACCATTATAATCTTGTTTCTTCCCAACATTAGGTATAACTTTAAAGCAAAGGTGGGATAGTGTCAGTATCGGTAAATGTTCCAAAGTATCAGAAAGCAGGAAACATTGTTTCCTTGATGTTGAAGAACTTGTAAAATAAATAAAGAATTTGCCCAGTGTTCTACCGTGCAACCTGTAAGGTGCTTGCGCTCGGCATGATTCCAGGAGTAGCCTGTCTTCCCTGTTGTCAGGTTGGCTTTCTGCCGTTTGGGGGAAAGGAGACATGGCTGCGTAGACGCTAGCATAAGCGAAAACTAAAAGGTAAAAAAGGCAACATTGTCCCTGTGCTTTTAGTACCATGCCATTGTGTCGTATGGAGGAGTGNTAAGTAAAAATTATTTTCCTCAAGGTAAACCGCGGTCGCTTCCCTTTCACATCGTCCATGCTTCGGCCTACGGTAATCCAAACGTCCATATAGTCACATTAAGCCTCACAAAGGTTTGGCCTTTGATAGGTTTAGTGACACGTTAGCAAAGTTGAGTGGTGCCGAAGCGTCATGAGCCCATATAGGGGATGTGGAGGTGAGCGCCCATATTTATCCTCGATACTAGAGGGGAGGTGACCGGTCAGGTTTACGCTCCTGCCATTTTAGCCTCCAGAACGCATTAGGTGAGAGATAAGTAACGTAATCCCTGTCACTGGCCGTGGAGGCCCATAGGATTCTGAGATGTTGAACTTCCAACATTTTCTAGAGAACCGGCCCACAGATGGCGGTGCGGTTGTCAGCCTTACGAGCCGGCCGGCCGGCCGCCCTTTACCCCCAAGCATATTCCTAGTACTCATTTCTGTTAGAGGCTGAGTCGATCCCAGGGCCAGAGCCGGGCTGGAAGGATGAGATAAATTGAAAAAATCCACCTCATCGGGATTCGATCCCGCAACCTTCCGGCTTGTAGCATAGTGCCTCAACCAACTACGCTATCGCGTGCCCCCTTAGGTGAGCGGTTAATACTTCATAGCCTTCTGGACATGGAGGCGAAGAGAACTCCGGCCGACTCTTGTAGTAGTATTAGACGTTGCAGAATCCGTTCTTTATAAGCGTTTTAGGAACAGTTGCTTTTGTCTGTCCTGCATCATTCAAATTCCAGTTCAGGGCATCTTCCTTCGTTCAGTAGTGGAAATATTTCGATGAGATCATAATCGACAACAGGGGGCACAGACCAACATGAGCCTTGACTGTCAGAGAAATATGTAGTGCCAGCGAGCCAGCAGAAACAGTGGCCGAGCGTCTAAGGGAGTTGAAAGTCCGCAGCCAAGGTGACTGCAGACCCGACCGAGCGTGGTTGGTTTTCTTGCTTTTGAAGGACGGAAAGGACGCGCGAAACAATCCAGAGAAAGAAAGAAAGACGGCCCTGTTTTGCCTTCACCTTTATACGACATCGGTAAGGAACTTTTATGGAGGCAAGAACATAGCGAAGAAATTTACATGATGCTGGTAATCATTGCCCCAAATTCCTTGGCGTTAATCACCTTCCTATACTTCCTTTGTCTGTGGCATTGTGTCTGGTGCGCTCATTTTATTGGTGAAGCCTTAAAGAAGCGTAAATGTAAATAAAATAGAGCCAGAATAAGTGGGCGTTTGAGAGCTCAGTCGGTACAGTGACGGGGTGGACGGCCCGGGTTCCATTCCCAGAAGTGCAAAAATTCATTCTCGAAAGAGTCCAGATCTACTCTGGGACCAACACAGTCTCTTATACAGGGGTGTTATTGGGGACTTTCCCCGAGGGGTATAGCGGCAAGGGCGTGAAGCTGACTACTCAACTATAGTGCCGAAGTCAAGAAAGGTGGAGCTATACCTCCACTTCCCATATGTCTTCATGGCATAGTGCTTTACTAATTAAGCATAAGGACAACTTCACTTTTTTACCTCTTTAGGTCAGGTTAGCTTTCCGTCCGTTAGTTTTTATGTTGTGGATTCTAGCGCTGGACTGTCTGGTGCCATTTCTTGTTTCTCTTTGTTTCGTTCTTTGACGAACTTTCAAGGCCACGGTCACAGTACGTCGTAGGTCGTTCGTATTGACAGTAAGGGCGTGCTTCATAGTTCACCCTTCTTCAGTTATGTGTTCGCATCGTTGCCTTCTTTCACCCTGTTGTTTCTCTAGTGCTGTTTATCGATACTGTTTCAGATGCAAAAGAGTAGGCTTATGATATAGTCAGCTTTATTTTGATATTGTCTAGTTGAGTGGGCACTAGTATTTTAAAGAGTTGTCTGCTTTCAATACCAGCATTGTCTTTTTCGTGCTTTTCCTCAGAATTCCCATGCAATATTTAAGATAATCTGTTATTTCTCCTTAAGAGATTTGTCACTACTTTCCATGATACTTCAGCCTTTATTTTGTTCTCAAGAATATTGCCTGGTTTTCCTTTTGATTAACAGCATTTATAAAGTATGAAGAGGTACTTACTTTTATGCCACTGTCTGTAAACTTCCGACGGTTTGTCTCTTGTAAAGGTAAAGTTGTCCCTGTGCTTAACTAATTAAGCACTACACCATAAAGACGTAAGGGGGAGTGGGTGTATAGATCCACATTTTCTTATCTCGGCAAAAGTTGGAGGGAAGTGATCATCTTCACGCCCCGGCCACTTTACCCCCAGGGATAGAGCCCCCCGCCCCATTGGATAGGAGGATGGGTAGACCCCAGAGCCGGTCTGGACGACGTGGAGAAGAGGATATTCTTGTCCCTAGCGTCTGCCTACCGTTATAGCGACGGGTTACGAGCTGGACGGTCTGGGTTCGATACCCGACAGTGTGAAGATTTTTCTCTTTTCCGCAGCATTCAGGCCGGCTCTGAGGCCCGCCCAGCTTCCTTTCCAGTGCGTACCGGTGGCTCTTTACTCGGGGGTAAAGCAGCCAGGGCGTGAAGGTGTCCATTCACTTCTATATAGTGATGATGGTGGAGCTATACCTCCATGCTCCCATATGCTTTAATGACATAGTGCTTAATTAAGTACAGGAAAAACTTTACCTATACCATTACAATAAGGAATGCGTTTAGAAAGCCTACCTTATTTTGATGTTCTTGTATATGTTCATCAGTGTGCCAGACTGTTTCGGTATTTCGTATTACAGAATTAGCTTCCAAGTTGGTACTTTTGAAAATATCTCATTGTAGCCATTATCGTCATCATTAGCTTCGCAGTTTGGATTCTGTTGATCTGTTCCAGTTCTAAATATGTCGTCACAATAAAAGAATTCTGTGGTTTTAGTCCGAAAGCGAACTATACCGACCGAGCGACCGCCGCTTGTCGGCGAAGTTAGTGCCAGCTTTAGCGGATAGAGGGTGTCGCGTGGTCAGCGCAGCGAATTTTCTAGACCGGTGTCATCACAATATGGTTTCAATTTTAAAATCTCTTGACATTGTCATTTATACTTCGTTACAGGAGTATAGGTAATATTTATGATATTCCTGCCCACACAAAACTCTTTCCAGCAGGTGTGTCGGCACATGTGTGCCATCTTCATGTCTGGTTTTTAGTTACATTTTTCCTGTCATGTACGCGTACTTTGCTGAAATATTCCATCTAAACCATTGCTGATTTTTTCTCTTGTTAAATGAGAATATGGTGACCAGTGACCACTTATAGCGTATTTTTTCTTTCATAAATTAAGGCTGAGGCAGGCCTCAACAATGGCACCCTTCAGATATAATTGAATGCTTTTAAAGATTTGTCTTTGGTGCTTACTGGACACTGATTTCTATATTTGTTTCAGGTTGCAAGATCAAGGCTTTGCGTGCCAAGACGAACACATACATAAAGACTCCAGTGCGAGGAGAAGAGCCAGTATTTGTTGTGACTGGGCGCAAAGAAGACGTGGCCAAAGCTAAACGGGAGATACTATCAGCAGCAGAGCATTTTTCACAGATCAGGGCATCACGTAAGAACAACTTAGGCGGTGGGGGTCTGGGTGGTGTAGGGGGGAACTCAACAGCGCCTCCTGGGCCTCCAGCAAATGTTCCTGGTCATGTCACAATCCAAGTCCGCGTTCCTTATCGTGTGGTGGGCCTGGTGGTGGGTCCAAAAGGAGCAACCATCAAACGCATCCAACATCAGACACACACCTATATTGTTACACCTTCACGTGACAAAGAACCAGTGTTTGAGGTGACAGGTTTACCGGAGAGTGTAGAGACTGCAAGGCGGGAGATAGAGGCGCACATTGCAATGCGGACTGGAAATGGAACCGTAGCAGGGAGCTTGAGTAGTGCAGCGGGACTTGCTGGCACACTGTTAGGTAGCGCTGGTCTTATCGATGAGTCTCCGGACTTGTTGGCTTCTCTTTACAAATCAGGCCTTGGATCGCTGTTTAGTTATCTGGATAACAGCCTGGCACCCACCACGCCTGCTTCAACTACTGGTCTTGCAGATGGATCCATGCCCATCTCCTTCCCTTCCATGACGTCATCAACTGGCAGCACAGGCGCCTTCTCTTCATCTGGATCTTGCAGCTCCTCGTCTAGTTCATCGGGCTCCGGTGGCCAAGGGAGTCGGCTTGGAGACTTGGTATCCATCTGGAATGGCAGTCTGGATCGTGATGAAGGACTTGGAGAATCCCCATCATTTGAGACAGCCACTGCCCCTTCCAGCATCTGGTCATTCCCATCAGGCGGTTCATCTGTTCCAGCAACACGACCGTCGCCTGCAGCATCTGTTTCACCCACAGACTCACTGACAAGTCTGGGAAGTTTGGGAGGACTAGTAAGTGGCAACAGTGGCGGGGCTGGTAGTGGCGGTCGCCGTGACTGCCTTGTTTGTGGAGAGAAGGAAGTGGATGCTGCCCTAGTACCATGTGGGCACAATCTCTTCTGCTTGGACTGTGCCAATCGGGTGTGTGACGGGGATGCTACTCCACTCTGCCCTGTCTGCCAGTTGCCTGTAGCACAGGCTATTCGAATCTTCTCCTAAGATAGAAGAACAAACAGCAGTATGCTAGCATATTCATTTCCATTTATAAGGTTGTTCTTAACACTATTTGCTCAGGGAATCCAGAATTCCTTGATTCACTGCACACCATGTTGGTAGCACATGGGGTTAAGAACACATCATTCGGAGACATGGGCTTTGACAGAATGTATTGGTGCCAGTGGGGTCTGGATAAGAAGAAAATTTTTATACAACGAAAGAGTAAATTAAATTATTTAAATCTATATTTTATGTTAAATATTTTTGTTTGAATGTTTAGTTTTTGAATGTATGGAGTGTGATTTTTTCCCTTGCCCCAACACAATATTTGGGTACATTCTGTGGAAAGCAGGTCTCTGTCATTAATAATAAAAATAATAATAATAATAATAATAATGCATGCCACCGCCCCCACCCCTGCCTCAGCACATTAATAATGTGTGGGGAAATTCATCCAAATCAAGAGTGCATAATATATTAATAATATTAATAGTATCACACATTTTAAGAGTATTATAAAATATTTTAACGAGATTTAGATTTTTGTATTATGTGTATGTGTGGATGTGAATGTAGATAAACATAAAAAAATTAAAAAAGACATGTTGACTAGAAACATCTCTTGTGAGATTTTCTTTTATTTCTTATATTCTTTTGTGGGGAATTCTGATTAAAATAGTAGGCAATTCTCATTATTTAAACTATGATAAAACTAATATAAAAATAACAGCAGTCAGTCAGACAGAGGACAGGGTTCCACTAGCTCTGGCTGTGATTCTTAAAACTGCCATCGGCAGCGCTGATGTTGCGTTGCGTCCTCCATTCTTAAAAGCGGCTGTTGCAACCGTTCAGTATCCAAAGGGGGGCAGGAAAATCTGGTGATTTAATTATGATTAATGTTATGTATTATTACTATTATTATTACCACTCAACATCCTTGCATCATCATCATTACTGTCATCGACACCTTATCATAACCATTTTTGTCTTAACTATTATAGCATTGGAGGTAGAACGTCAAACTGAAGGAGTCATTCCTTGTTATTGCCTGGATATTTATGAATAGACATATCCCTTGTTAGCCGTGTTGCTTGTTCTGTTTTCATGTGATATAGCCATAAGTTATTGAAAGAGTATTATGAAATTATTTATCTAGAATATCCTTACATTTATTCTCATAAGAAATCAGGCATTGCTGTAGGTAGTTAAGTATTGCACATCACTTGCCAAGGCTACTTTCTTTTATCCATGTGCAGTTCTGTGGCGATGACTTAGATCCAATAATATAAGCCTTCTGACATGACTGACAGATCTTTGGCTACATACATGGCATGCACATTACGTAAAAGAAAGCTAATTTAACAAGATAAAACTGCTCAATTACTTATGGATGACTCCCTTGATCTAAATGGATTTTACTCTCCGCATTCCAGAGAGGCGGTGAGGAGATTTTTGCATACTAATGTTGTAATTGTTCTCTATCTCAACTTTTTCTTTTATATATATATATATAATATAAATAATAAACTAAATAATTGCCACCCTTGTCCTCTGCCTGGCTGAGATGTGGCGTGCCTCACAGAAAGTTTCAGTATTTGATTTTATTATTATAATTATTATTGATGTTTAAGAAATGATTGTATATTATTTTTTTGGCATGTGTGTAGCTATAATGGTGTAAGATTTATTATCAAAGTGACAACAAAGGAGAAAGGAAGTTCACCATAGTAAATGTACAATATCTTTGTTTTCCTTCATGGTAATTTAAACATTTTATTTTTTTACCTTTTTCACGATAATTATTACAGTAATATCTAATACTTGTAAATTAGTTTTGGGGTTGGTTGTAAATATTGCAACTGAGACAGTACATATGAACAGTTGTTCGGCATTACTTCTATTTTAAGACTTGCACAGAGTTGTGTTACTGATGCATACAAACCACTCCTTGTGCATATGTTGGGATATTATGAAATATTTATTATTTTGACTATGAATGCAAATTTTGAAATTAAAAGTTGCATGATTTATTGCCAGCCCCTGGAATGATCCTTAGCATGATAGACAAATTTTGCATTTTTCTAGATAAATTTCAACTATAGGAACAATTGCAAATGGTATACTGTGGCAAATTCTTTCTCCCCTTGATGAGTTTGCACAATATTTAAATACATTCAGAGTAGTAGTTTAGTGTTTTTCTATTTTATTATGATCCTATATATATTATACTATATATTATATATGATGTAGCTATAAAGAAATATTAGTGACACTGGAGAAGTTATTTTTTATGTTAGTCTGCTCAAAATGTGACAGGCCCAGAGTGAACTTTTCATTTGAGACTGCAGTGGCCATCTTGGATTCGATTTGAGTTTTGAAAAGCTCTCGTTTTGTCTTCCTAGGGGTCAGGTTGAAGAAAGCCTCCATTGCATTTTTCCTTTTAATTTTCAAATTTCCTTTAGTTTTTAGGGAGAAAGTTGGAGGTATCAAAGAGAGTTACAGGATATAATGCATTTCTTGTTTCTTGAAGCAGTTGCAGAATTAGTTTCCTTTGCAAATTTGTTTTGATAGCAAGGTAGATAAACGTTAATGGAGGGAGGTTGCATAAACAAATGTTGGTAGACCCATGGATAGTGCTGCTACTTTCAAATCAAAGTGTGGAACTAGTTTCAATGCAATAATTAAAGGCAGGATCTTTGTATGCAAATAATTTAATTTAAAGGATAATAGATGTTTTAAAAGAATTGTTGATGGTTCAGTCATCAAGTTTCTTAAAAGTGTTACACTCCTTTTTGTTTGGTCTGTCAACAAACCAGATCTGAGGTATTCTGTCAGCTTGATTGGGACAGAAAGTTGTGGTACAGAAGGTTCTCCAGCTCCACTTCGATTATAAAAGTAATACTAATAGAGAGGGTTGAAAGGGATGGATTAAAACTAAATGCAACTAGCTTTTGACTGAAGAGGTGTCAACATTTAGCGTTGTTATTCTTAATGTGTAAAAATGTCCAGGCCTAATTATATATTATAATATATTTAAAAAAACTTTGAAATGTTACGTAGTGTTTTCCAGCTTGGATGCACAAAATATACATAACATTTATTTATAATAATATAAATGATAAATCTTAGACATCTGATTTTGTTGACTCCTTACCAGAAGCAGAGGACTGACTTGCTGCAGCTAAGGGAATTAGCAGTTTATGGCTTTACAAGTGAATCACCATTACCACGTTCTGCCTTGCAAAATTAATATTGAAAACCAACATTTTTCTAACTCTGAAAGCAATAATTACATAGTTGATGTTGCAGCAGTTTGGTCTTTAGCAACTGGTATCAAGGAAACAGAAAAAGAACCTGCTCACCATTATAATAACATTATGAATTTAAACAAATACTTCTATTTAGTGTGTTCTTTGTGTGTGAATGTGTAGGTTGTTAACAAAGAAGTATCATAGTGTAGGTCTTGTGTTTGAAAACCTGGGCTAAAAGTCACAATATGTGGTCACACAGTTAATTTACAGTTCACATTCTTGTAGAATATTATATTTAACTACTTATAAAAACAAAGCATTATAATATGAAAGGTGTTTGATGGTGTCCTGTTTTGTCATCAGCGCACAAACTGTCAAGAGGATGGTTTCTGAGGGCAGTGGCATAACAAGATAGCTGATGCTATTAACTTCAAGCTGCTTAACTAACTTATGTTTTTAAAACAGTTGCACCAAGCCTGGTTTTAAAAACACAAGATCAACAGGAATTATGCCAAGTGTTTTGTATTGTAACGCTGCCTTACAACAGGGGACAGGAAATTTTGAAGACCTTTTTGCTGTTGGCTAGAAAAAATATGAAAATGAGACCTATATGTATCATATGTATAACTGTATGGGTGAAGTGTCTGAATAGATGGATATGATGCCCAGTTAATCTGCCTCTTGAATTCAGCAGGTATTAAAGTAAAGAAATTGGATAGTCACGAATCACAACTCATGTTCTTAAATAACTTACCGATCACAGTAATCCCACCGAGAAAACAAGTTTTTTTTCACATGTCTTCTTGTTTTCCAAGTCAGTGAACACACGTGACTACATCCACATGAAATTGTTTCCTTCCCTGTTTATTGCAGAATGGCTGAAGTGTACTGAAATATTATAGTAAATTATATTTGTTTAATCTTGAAATTCTATTACATATTTCCCTATTTTTTAATATTATTTGCTTCTATTCCTTCACATTAATTAGCACAGCAGCAAATACACACACACACACATACCCATATCAAAGCTTTACTGTGATTTGAAAGACTGATTATGTGTTTTTTTGAAAAAAGAAAGATAGAAAAATAAAAAATGGGGAAAATTTCCAATGATTGTGAAAAGAGGGAGTTAAGGATGCTCCTCACAGCAGTGGTTGACTACATCTGCTATGATGATATTAACAGCAGCCTCATTTTGCAGTTGTGTCGAGTACATTTTAAAAACCTTAATATTATAAATAAAAGTCATAAATAAAAAATCCGCCAACAGCAAAGATGGGTCAATTCTCTTCTGCTTTAATGGCCATTAAAATACCATTAATATTTTATATTTATAACAGTAATAGTTATATTTATACTATTCCAATTTTGACAAAAATACTAGCATGAAACTAAGCAAACAGTCTTTTTTGAGGAGTTGTGCATAACCAAGAAATGTTACATTTTCACAACACCCTAGATACTCTTTGACCACATGGATAGAGTAACAGCTGAGGCAACCCATGACTATACTGAATGTAACACTTAGTGACTCTAGTGTTCTCAGAGATTAGATGTTGGTGTAATAATCACAGCTGGGCATATTTCCTTGCCTAACATGAACTTATGTAACTCCATGTATAGTTTCCAAAGCTGGGAAATCAGTAGAATAATCAGTAACTGTCTTTTATATCAGATGATGGAGGGAGAGGTCAGTTTGTGGACCATGGAGTTGCCCAGACTCCATGAACTATGCAATAATTTGGAATTTTAGAAAAAGTATATGCTGTCAGTAGCATTTGACTGAACATTTGTCAGTCCTGATTTGCCTCTGCTCTCCTGGTGTAGTATTTTCCCCCTCATGATTGTACAGTGCTGATGATGGTAATTGTAGTTTCTTAGTACATAACATAGAGCAGAGTATGAATATAAAGCAATGGCTTATGTGTTTTTGAGGTGCATTGTTGTGGAAGCAAATTTTCTTGTTCAGATTTAATATAATTATGGAATTGGAGACATGTTTTTGTGTAGGAAACAGTATAATGTTTTTATTCTTGATTTTTATATATATATAACTTTTTCAGAAGCAGTACTACTGTTAGGTTTGGGATGACACTCGAAATTTATGGTGAACTTTTTTGAAAAGTTTGTATTGTGTGTGCGTGTATGTGTGTATATATGTGTGGACATGCACAGTGGAGGGAAAGATAATAATTCTGAACCATGGATACTGAAATGAGTCGGGTGACAAACATATGTACACAGTGAAGGAAGTCCCAAACCTGGCAATGTTGTTTATCTCTGAATTTTGTAGTCTATGTGATCTGAAAGTTGCACCACACTACTTCCAGTCGGGCTTCAGGAGAGCCCACAAACCCCCTCTGACCCATGAACCAATAGAGTTTGCTCAACGCCCCTCATTTCCTCCACCATTCCACTATGCAATACTCTCAAATGCTATTTACAATATATTTTCAATCAAGGTGTAAGACATGGATCTTGTGGCCAGTTTGTACTCAACAGTATATTTGGGGTGGGAGGGGGTTTGAGATATTGCACCCCCTCCATATAGGAGTCTCTGCTGGATTGGAGGGTAGGCATGTGCAACTTCATGCATTGTTGTGAGCGTGGTAAAGAGTGAATATGTCTTCATGGTATAAGTAACATATATTTACACTCGTTCACATATAGAATAACATTAATCTTTCATAATATATCTATCAATTACCACATTGAAAGTTATTATTCCCCCCCCTCATGCTCAGTATAAAGAAAAAAGTATTTGCCCTTTTTAAACTCAAATCCAGAACTATCAGGGTTGTGTGTGTGTGTTTTAAATATTTTACAAAAGTTTACGTATTTAATGAAAAATGTTTAAGGATCATACATAGGTTTGTTTATTTGGAGATGTGTTTATACCCAAAGAGAATAATAATATACTCAGCCTAAATATCTAGATAGTTCCATGCAAAATTCTTCACATATATTTTTATTATACATGTTTTAATGTGCGTAAGATAATCTTTGAACAAATGTATTTTGAAGTTCAACATATTACCTCCTTTTTGGGTAAAAGAGTACTTAAATAATGTATGTTAATTTTTTCATGTTTGCTGATATTTTATTTTTCAGACTTGTGAATAAATGATTCACTAGGAATGATTCTCTAGAAAATAAATTGTATTTGTAACTGAACTTGGTGGCATTTATTTTATTTAGTTTTATAAGATTTGAAGCTTTTGCACTAACAGTATACAGTGAAGCCTTTACAGGAAATCAGCTAATTAGCTTCCGAGTTTCAGAGACTGTTTCCATCATCAGGAGTTGCTGTAATAGGTGTCTTAGTTCATGTGCTATATTCATATACTGAGGAACTAGTGGTAAGCAACATGGATTATGGGCACTGACTTCCTCTGCTGTCCCGAATGGAGTCCTCCACACTGGGACAGGGACACCATGGAATGTCTGCCTCTACNCACTACAAATTGACACAGCTGATCGCCTGATAAGATTTCGTTGTTAATTTTTGCTTCTTTGAAATATGTTCCCAGTCCTTTCTTAGATTTGCATTCTTTTAAATGGAAGTTACCAGATGTCTGAAATAATTCCTGCCATTATATGTATACCTCTTTGTGTACAGAATCTGCAAGGAGCCTTAAACAATAGCATCATATTTTGGAAGAACCCTTCTTTCATATCAGGCTGTAACTCGAAAAGTTAAATCTGTATCTCTAGAAATCAAGACTGTAGAAGACTCATGGCTGCTTTTAAGATGGTGCTGTGTCAGAGATAGTGATAAATGTCAGATCCATTGAAAGTCTTTGGAACAAGTTTCATAGACTTTCTCACTTGTTTTGTTTTGATGATATTCAGTTAAAATTGCACCTATATCCCCTTTGCATTTCCAACAAGTATCAAAAGGAATTTAGATTGGGTAAATTGTCAAAATTTAAAAGCAGTGGTATGTATTTTGTCTGTTCTTAAAAGGATTGACAGTTTTCGAGTTTTGAATTGACAGTTACCATATACAGGTGGATATAACCAAATCTGAGAGCCCGCCCAGTTTTAAAGTTTCGGCATCATTCCTGGGGTCCGTTTTCAAATTGTCTTCCTACTCAGCCTTAGAGCCCCTTCTTTCCGGGAGACTGTCTGCTCTGTCCAAGCTCCATTCCTCACATTTTTACAATCCTGAGTATTAGATTGTATTTCAAACTGACCAAATTATTGAGACGTTATCAGGTCCATGCAAAATTGTGTCAATATTCTCTTAAGGTTAACTTCATATGTAGCGGATTATGACAGTCTACTACTAATCGGATTTTCTGCATACCTCATGCTGGAGACAGAGTATATCATCTGTAGCCGTACAGAAAACTTGCAGTTTAGTTAGGAGGGAAATATTGTACAGTATTCTCATTGGGCTTGGTGTACCCATGATCTAATTAAGCTAATCAAAATATCTAGATAAAATCTATAGAAAAGTCCTTACAGATGAAAATGTATCTTGTGCTTTTCCTGTTCATAATGGTCTGAAAAGAAGACATGCTGTATCGCCGTTAATTTTCTTCTTTGCTTCTGCGTACGCCGATAGGAAAATGAAAAAAATGTTGAAATTGAAGGAATTGTTCGACACTGATGATAAGTTATTGGGGAAACATAAATATCGCAAAGAAAAACATGCTAGTAAGGAGGTTTGTCCAGAAGTAAACGCAGAGAGAACTAAGTAGGCTTATTTGCTGATGTCTGGTTACCGAAATGCAGGAAAAAATGTTGCAAAGTTAGACTATTTGAGGTTAAAAGAAAAAACAATTCGCTTAGTGGGGGTGGAGTCCAACTGGGTCCACTCGGCACGGAGGCCTCTGGCCTATTGTACCTGCCCCGGGTGATTATGATGATGGAGAATTTAGTGGGATGAAGATTGGCAAGGGAAACCGAAGTACTCTGAGAAAATTCGCCCTAGCGCCACTTTGTCCAACACAATCCCATTTGACCTTACCCGGGATCGAACTCGGGCTGCCGCGGTGGGAAGCCAGCGACTAGCCGCTTGAGCAATGGCGCAGCCCTAAAGGAAAAAATCTGGATTTATATAATAGGTGATTTCCAAAATAATGTAATAAATTAATCATTACAGTTACTATGAATATAGAAATTCTGGCACGAATAAGCTTCCAACCACAGACCAGCTATGCTCGCTCGCTCCAGATGTGCAAAGGAGGGATATGGAATAATTTTTGTAGATTATGGTGCAAGAGTTAAAAATTTCCAATCCCGCTAAGAAGACGAACAGGAGTTGTTTGTAGTCCATAATTCAGTATACAAAATTCCCACCTTCGTTCTTCTAAATTAATTGAGCTAGCGGTCAAAGTGTTAAGTTTATTCGATTTCAATCAAGATTATAATTACCTGGAAAGTCAGTGAAAGTCGTCCTTATCGAATATTTAAAACAATTTGTCCACATGCGCTGATACTAGATCACAGACATTTCTACCACATAAAAACGCATAGAAATGAATTTGGGTTTCAGCAACGGATTTACAGGCCTTCTGCATTACCAACCCTGTAAAATAAACAATTTTTTATCAGGCTTCGCAATGTAGGCCTCTCTTTTCCTAATTATTGCATTTATGGTAAAGGCGACGCTGGAAGCATTTCAGGTTAGAACGTTTGAGCTATCGGCTGAATTCTAGACCAGTGGTTCTCATCCTTTGTGGGACTGCGGCCCGGTAATTTCTTTTTTATAAGACAAGGGCCCAGTATAATTGATGCCACGGCCCGGCGGTTGAGAAACACTGTTCTAGACAACATCCCCGTGCTATTTGTTTGTGACCTATTTAACGATTTTGTCAGTAGCTCAGAATATAACGTTGAATGGAAGGATGGTCAGTCAATACTGAATTGGGAAACTTAAGGAGGCGGCCGTATGCGCCCCATAATTTGCCTGGAGGAACTGAGTGCAACGAAAGGCCTCAATCTGGGTAGTCGGTGCCCCAGACGAGATTCGAACTGAGTGCCTCCCAGTATAATGCATTACTGCAGGAGTTAATTTGCCCAGTAACACTGTAAACTAAGTAACAACGCTGTCTATGGCTCTACAGTCCCTTTGTTGGACCTTGGGACCCCATACACATTCGGTAGGGCTCCTTGGACGGGGGATCAGCCCGTCGCAAAGCCCATACTACGCACAGAACAATACAAAACAGAATAAACGCACACAGACATCCGTGCCGTGATTGAGATTCGAACCCACGACCCTAATATTATAGCGAGCGAAGATAGTTCATGCCTTAGACCGCACGGCCACGTTACAACGCTTCATAGAATAATTTCTGTACGAAACTTACGTGTCCAGAAATTATTTTTTTATGTAAATTTAGCAGGCGATATCTATTTTACGGACACGTAGTGGTACGTTTCATTCTCTCTTATAATTTATGACTTTGACGAAGGACTGAAAGACGTGGTGGCTATTATATTTTATTGCTGTACCTGACCTACCAGAATCATGAACTGGCCACTGGCCTATGCTAACGCATACAGACATGGTTTGACAATGGAGGTTTTGGATGGCGCGAACACAATATTCCGCGTGTAGTCAGTGTCGTGACATTCTTTGGGGATTACTTTACGACGCTGTCAATATTTAGACGACCGCCTCTGTGGTCTAGTCAAGAGTTCCTTGCTACAGATCCAAAGGTCCTGGGTTCGATTCCCGGCTCTACAAGATTTTCTGGGAAGTAGTGGGTCTGGAACGGTGTCCACTCATCCTGGTGAGGATAATTAAGGAACTATTTCAAGGAAATAGTGGCTCCAGTCTAAAATCCGAGATTAACGGCCATGAGGATCCGTTGCGCTGACCCCGCTAAAGTTGGTACTAACTTCATCAACAAGCGGCGGTCGCTTGGTCGGTATAGTTCGCTTGCGGACTACAGGCCACGAATTTCGTTTTCTTTTTTTTTGTTTTCCAGTATTTAGGCTCTATAGCGCCGAATGAATGATGACTTTCAAAGGATTTAAAAGGAATCGGTCGTGGCCTATTCGAGATACGGTTTTGGAATTTGTCTAGAGGGACTGCTAATACTACGAAATGCCTCAGAATGGCCAGTGTTACTGTTAAATACAAATCTAGATCATTATTGCCAGGGCACTCTACTCGGTCTGCAACATTAAATTGCGTTTGTGCTCGCGGGTGTACTGCGCAGCTCCCTTTTCGTTACCGCCCTTGTATTTTACCGATTGCTCCATAATTGTTGCATTTATATTAGAAAGCAAAAATCTGGCACAAATAAGATCATGCTGTCTTTAAAGCAAACTCACATATTCTTCTATAATTTTTTTTTTCGGAGGAACTTATTTATTAACAATCAGAATTACGTACATTCTATAGGTTAATGGTTTCGCTAAGGACTATTACATATCATGCGTGGAAAATGTCCATCGACATTACTTCTTCAGAAGTTGATTTGTTTTATATCAGGTCATTTGGCTATTTCCTTTTTAATGTTCTGTTGTTGATTGGCTCCCTGAGTGGTTGCAATAGTTCGTTCTCGTGGGTTTCAATTTTTCTCATGTGTTGGCGGCTTCTGTCCAGGATGATTTCTTTCACGAATTTTAATTTCAAGTCTTGATGTAGGGTTTCATTTGACACATACCAAGGTGCGTCGACTAACATTCTTAGGATTTTCGATTGTGATCTTTGGATAATATTGGTGTTGGTCTTACTGGCACATCCCCAGAGTTCGATGCCGTAAGTCCAGATTG